TATAATGAGATCCAAAAGTGATTAGGTAAATTCTTCTAAGAAACATTCATTGAGAGCTATCAGTCACAACACTGTAAATATAACGTCCTGCCCAAGAAGTCCCTAAACCATAGCTTGCTGGAAGCTGTAAGGGTATCCAGAGGATTACCGTGCACATGTCCAGACTTTGTATAATTCCCCTAAACAGCTGCTCTTTATTTTGATGGAAACCCTTCACTTTGAATACTCAGTACAACCAGTTCTTAGGGGGTTTTAGGCAAACAGCTCAAGAAGAAAGTGTTCTAGGGATAGTTCTTAAGTACCTTAAGAATTTAAATTTTACTAGGCAGTGTGGCAGGTGCTAAGGGAACTATTTGTCCTGTCACAGTCATTCACTGTCATTTTCAAAAGCTCAGGGTGCAAAAAGCTAGTTTTTGACTGCTGGTTTGTTTATAGGTTGAGGAAATATGTCAGAAACAAGCTGCAAATTGGAAAGCAGTGTAACAAATAACTGGATGACAAAGAGCAGAAAGGTTAGGGGAAAAGAAACTATACATTCTTGCATACATTTCGTTTGTTGATGTCGTTTGTGATTGTACTCTATATTTTGGAGTAAGTACACACACCTGTAGGTATGAATGTAAGTATAGACATACACATACACACCTCAGATTCTCCTTTTCTGTCCTGTATGAAAAACCAGCTGGATCCAAGATGCATGCATCTCAGGTTGTAATACATGATAAAATTAGAAAAGGAGGGAGAGCATCTCACATGGATATAACCTAGCACAGAGACCTACGCAGACAGCTCCACTGCAGCCTGCGTAACTCTCCATCCCTGATGTGAGGATTCCCATTTCCCCATCCATGTTTCCATATCTTATTCAGCCACCATACCTAACAGGAAGGGCACTGTGCAGGCAAAAAAACACAGCTGAAGACTGGGACCATCCATTGCAATCCCCAAACACAGCAGTGGTCACCACAAGCTGGTCTTCTGTGCAAGAAGCTAAGCAGCAACAGAAGAAGGCTTTACTGCAAGAGAGGCAGGAGAATCCCCAACAAGGCTTTGGAGACAAAACAGAGTCCTTTGAGATTTCAAAGAACAGACTGTGTGAGGGAGCTGGTTGCTTTCCCACAGATGTATAAACTTTTTCTGCCTTCTTAAAGTTCATGTCTGCAGGAAATTCCTGTGGTTTCTGCACTTGCTTTGCACAGCATTCCTGAAAAACGCAACTGAAGGCTCCACAGAGCCTTTCAGAGATGCTTTTCCTCTTAGAAAACAGGAATGTGCAACCTGCTTTCAAAAGGGAGTTGGACACAGGTTGCACAAAAGTTGCAGGCCTGTAGGTTGTAGAGCAATATTCCCTCCCAGCCCAGACCCAGAGGTGGTAGGACTCAGTAGTTAGAACCTTTGTGACAGACTCGTACACATTTGGGAAGCAGGATCATAAAGCCTAGGATCACAAACAACCTCTTTGTTCCATTCTGTTATGACTGTTTTGTGTTACAGAAGACACTAAGGCTCTTGGAAAACTGGTACTTCCTGGTAGCTTATTGTGGCCTTGGCCTGGAGAAAAGATTCCGATTTTCCCAATGCTAGTGTAGAAGCATGCTGGGTATGGGATTATCCAGGCAATGCCATCATTTGCAAAAATCAACCTTCTACTTTAATCTACTGAAGCAAAAAAACTCAGAGCAACATATCAAGTACTTCAATGTAATCTGGAGACAGAGATGCTTGCCTACCGTGAACCACCTTTTGCATAATTGTAGACTAAAGAATCCAGTCTTCTGCTTCACTAGATGAAGTTCTGGTGCAGCTAGAAATGTTGGGTAGGGGTTTTTTTCAGTATTCTCTCTGCTCTTACTTATCTACTTAAAACAGAGATGAGTTTATAGAAGTTGACCCCATCTACAACAGGAGTGAGTTCAGAATAATTTCTCATTAAAAACTTTAAAATAGTGACACACAGGTCAGAAGCAGTGAAGTGTCCAGTCATCAAAGCAGCAGTGGGCAATAGAAATTCGGTTCAGAGCTGCGGGACAGAAATAATGTGATTTGAGCTTCTTTCCAATAAGTGATACCAAGCCGTAAATGACTGACAGTGTAAGCAAGAGTAGTATCATTAGCTTTGGGGACATGGTGCAATGACAGCGTAGCAGCTAATTTTTTCATGACTGTCCTTTAACAGCAAATTTCATATTTACAATGCTTGCTGGTCCCAATCTATCAGACTACTTAGTGTTTTCCAAGTGCTGGTAGAAGTAAAAGCATGGTAAATTTTGCTCTTATTCTGCAGCTAAACAGGAGAAAGAAACAGATTAAAACATCTCATGGCCTCAGAGACATGTGTTTTCTGTGCATTCCTATAGCATAAACAGCCTTTTTTTTTGCAGGAAGTGTTCCAGCCTGTTCTTGAAAATACTTTCATTTCCCTCTTAAGCTGTTTTAGGTTCCCACCTGTGAAGTTTATAATGAGGATGTGATGCTGACACCTAGAGGGACATAGGTACGAACATAAATACATTTTATTCGTCTGTAACGCTCTTTCAGAATGCATTTCTTAATAAGGCATCTCTTTAAATTGAGAAGTGAAAGCCTGTATGCTATATTCCCTCTGTGAGTAATCTATGAGGTTAGCAAACACATTGCAATGAATAACCAACAATAGCGGAGTTTCCAGCAGTGCAGTTTAATTGTTTCTTCATATGTCTGTGTTTATACATCAAATAAACTTCCAACAAAAATGTAGTGTACGATTCAAGAAAACACCCAAAGCTATTACAGTTTTGGCTTCCTCTTTGTTGATTTACAATTATGCTTAATATTATTTGCAATACCCAGTGAAGATTTAATGATTTATTTACAACATCAGCTGGTGCCTTTCACTGTGCAATTGAACTGTCTCCTTTTGCTATTTACATTCATAGTAGTAAAAGCCCACTCTTAGGTGCTGTTTATGGATAGGGTTAAGAGGCGGACTGAAACAAGGCAAGATTCTCACTACTGGCCACAAACATACCTCTGAAATTCTGTTTCCAGATATAGCTGAAGGACGATTCCAGCACCTTCTGCACTGATATAACCATTATATTTACAGTCAACATAATAAGGTGTCTCCAATGATAATAACATTACTGCTCATATCAGAGGGAGACATGTGCAACCTGGAGGCAGTGTATATTTTTTTAAGGTGCAGCAGACAAGAGGTATCACTCTGATGCTGAAGATGCACCCTACTTATCCTGCCAGAGACCTCCAAAGCAAATGAAGACACAAAGTATGCTATATTTCTAAATGTGTGAAGGAGAATCTTTTACAATTCTTCTTACACAAGAGATTAAATTAGGAGGGGGAAAAAAAAGGATAAATTTATCATAATACACAAATTGTTTCACAGAATCACAGTATAACTTGGGTTGGAAGGGACCTGTGGAGGTCATCTATTCCTAATCATCAAAACGACAACATCAAAGTAAGAGTCAGGTTTCAACTCAGAGCAGATTGTTCACGCCTGTGTCCAGCCAAGGATGGAGATTGCACAACCACTGGGCACCTGTTCCCACATTTGACCACTCTTATGGTAAAAAAAGCTCTCCTAACAGTTGATCAGAACTTTCACCTTGAGGTATAACTTAAGGCCATTGAATCAATCATAGTCCTTCTGTTGACAATAGTTTTAGAGCATCCCTAAACCAAGTATAACATGAGTTATCCTTTCAGCTTTTCAGAAGAAATAATTCATTTTTCCAAGATATTTTCTGATATCTAGTCAGTACGGTACCACTGCTTGAAATAATTTCCTAGCTTATATCTCAGTGCAAGATACATACCGTCCATTGGCATCAAGAAATCAATGCCACAGTTTCACTTCCTTCATTTGTGATAAATCCAATATTTTGCACATTACACAGCTGTCACAGAACAGCATGTTAACGAGAGCATGAATAGATGCAAATTGCTTACACAAAAGGCAGAAGGTTTCACCTTAGAATCTTCTCAATAAAAATAAATACTGTTTGTTTGGGAAGCAAAACTCAGAAGTCTCTGTTATAGCTACATATGCCTGAGGTTTTGAAAGCCGTGTTTTGCCATTGCCTTCTGATCATCAAACTTGTTTTTTCTCTCCCAGCTTGAAACATGCAATCTACAGGACGGCTTCCTCCCATAACAAAAGCTGCTCCTAGCTGAAATGCTTTTGTAATGTCTATATAAAGGCAGCCACTCACTAGGGAAACTAGTGGCTATCTAGAAGTCATGTACCCTTTACTTCCCTAGCCCTGGTGAATAAATAAACCAGACAAACTAGAATCAGCTCAGTCTTCAAATTAAGCCTTAAAATCTGCCTATGGTACATCTTACCCCACAGTGAGAAGACCGCACGTAGTCAGTTATGACAGCATAGTGTATTCAACATGGAAAATCTCATGGTAACATTGTCCACTTAATACATATTTTATGACAGTAACACTCATGACTGGAACACAAGACCACTGATACGTGCATATATATCGGTTATAACTGTTGAGCAAGGGATGTGAACCCTGATAATTGGAGCTACTTCTCTGATGATATGTCTTCAGAAGGAAAGAGCCAAAAACCTATTAATTCCGGGCATCAAAATAAGCCATGCTGTATCTAGAGAGACAAAGAATATCAACAGAAACACACACTGACAGGCTGATGGGCTCATTTGCATGCCAGGTCACACTCGTTGCCTTTAGGAGAAAGAAAAATAAGGCTTTCCCTGTACAATCCTCTTATAAGATCCAGTCTTCAGTAGGGTAAACGAGATTAAATTCTTTCTCCCTGTAATACAGATGCACTGAGTAGCTCCTACCACCAGTGTGTGGAGGGAAAGAAATGTAAAATCACATATTAAAAAATTATTTCTGATTTCTGAAAAAGTCGTGACAGCTGAATGAAGAAAGATGTTCCATAGGCATTTCAACAGAATCACAAGACACAGCAAGATGTTGCATTTCCATTCTCTTGCTTGGTTTGATTTGGTTTTCTTAATACTTGTTTGATAACCCACAGACCATTCTCAGGCTATAGCAACAAATTATCTCTTTGAAGGTCTTCCTCATTTCCTGGCTACGAAAGGCATAAATCAAGGGGTCAATCACTGAGTTACACATAATCAGAATGAGGTACATGTTAAAGTGGGACATGAAGCAAACACAGTAGAGGTTTTGAGGGCAGGAGATCATCAGGATGAGATGAAGAAAGAATGGAGCCCAGCAAACAATGAAGATGCCAAGAAGCATAGTCAGAGTGATGGCTCCTTTCATGCTGGTTCTCTGACGGACAGAGTTGTACCCAGGCAAAGCAGCTATTTTCTTCACATGAGTACGAGCCAGGAGGAACATATGGATGTACAGCGAGACCATGAGGAACAACATGGTAAAAAACATAGTGATGAGACAAATGATGACGTAATTTGATTCATAATAAAGAATGAAGATAATGCCACAGCCCGTGCAAAAGGTCCAGATGCATGCAATAATAAGCCCTGATCTTTTCACTGTCATGATGTTGTGATAACGCAGGGCATAGAAGATAGTGATATATCTGTCTACTGCTATAGCCAGCAAACTGCACATGGAAGCCACCACAGATATGCAGATCATTGAATCAAAGACATTGTCTATATGACGGACAAAGGCATCTTCCATAATTATGTGTCTATTGTTTATTAAGTATATCGTTATTGTCTCCCAAGCATTAGACACACTAACCAGCATGTCAGCCACTGCTAAACTGCAAACAAAAAAATACATGGGTGAATGCAAGTTCTTGTTCTTAACTATTGCACATATAACTAAAATATTTTCAAGGAGGCTTACAATGCCCAGAGTTAGGAACACCTCAGCTGCAATGACCACTTGCTCACATGGCGATGACTTGCTCTTGACAGCAGGCACAGTGAAGTTGCTACCAAAGGCACTCAGGTTTAATTCAGAAACATATAGTTGAGAGGACATGTTCATCTCTGGAAGCAAACACGTTCTGTTCTTTCTGAGGGACTTGCCAAGGGGTGCAGTAAATGCATTTTCCAAAAGGCAAAAGACCCTGCCAAAAAAAATACAGCTTGACGAGAGCAGGCGGTAGTTGACAAAACAAATATCACCCATTTCTATTTAATTTAGCTTGTACACATCCTGTCTTTTCCACACTACATTCCTCTACTGATTCTAAATCAACCTCCAATTGGCTCAGGAAATTACTGGGAAATTAAAACCAGAAACTAACAAAGAGATTCATGCACTCTTCATTCATAGTTTTGTTTATTCTATTCAGTCCCCCAGAAGTGAGCACAATGTCCTGGAAATTATGCTGAACACCAAACAACAAACTTTTCAAAGTCTCAATTCTCAGACCCCAGAAATGCAGGAGAGTATAGTATTAGGTTAAGCAGAACCTGCTCATTTGAATACTATATATATAAGTTTGAATTATTGCCACAAAACCTGAACATTATCAGTGAAATATTTAAATGCTTTCCTGACCTTAGTACTTCTTAAGTTCGCATGAACTGTGTTATAAACAGCTTATCTGTGCACTACTAACATGCTCAATTAAGAGTACAGTATTAAACACCTAACTAAGGCAAATCCACACATTTCAGGATACACTTATGTTACAGAATCGGTATGGGTGGAATCCTGTCATAAAAACAAGTTTTCTGTTCCAGATTGTGAGTATTTTATTCAGTGCTCTTTTGATAATGACAATATTCAGGGCAAGTTGTAAGCCATCACATTCTTTGTAAGAGGAGCACTTAAAGCTGATTGTCAGTGACTTGTTGCAAATAAAATTCAAAGCATATCAAGATAAATCATTTTCAGTTTTTAAAAGTAACCTTTTATTTGCAATCAAGAATTAACCGTACCTATTTACCAGAGCTGCTCCTTCAGTTGCTCTTCCTTTTTTTCATCGCCTGCAACCTTTCCTCCATGCAGCAGAAGTTTCAGCCCCCCCCTCCTCGCCGACATCTGGGGCTGGGTTCTCCTTGGTGGGAATAGATGACAAAAATAAAGGAAAAGGAATGAATAAATCCATAGAGTCAAGCCTGACCACGTATAAATTACTTACTGTGCAACTGCCTTTTTATAGACCCCAAGCAATAATGTCTTCAGTACTCAAACTCTGGCTCCTCCTCCCCTTCTTTGCCCCTCTGAACTTCTCTTTTCATAGGTTTTGTTAGCAAAGGTTTGGTTTTTTACCACCACCTAGTGGTCTTCTCTTGTCTTTCTAACGGAACAGTGATTCTGATCTAAAATTCATTACGAGCTTTTTATAATATTAAAGGGGAAAATGCACTAGACGTGCTGCTTTCCAAAAACATTTATTTTTTGTTTTTTCTGCTGTTGCTAGTACTCACTGACAGTAAGTCCATACTGCAATAGTACTCCAAAAGAGGTGGGAGCAGAAGACTTTTATTGAAGTGGGAGGCTTATTACTGTTATAAACATTTATCTTCTATTCACAGCTATAATTTTGCAAGAATAAGAACCACATCATTACAAACTCAGAGAACGTACAGTCAAGGCCATTACACCACTAACAGAAGATGTAACTCAAGTAATTTGTGTGAAAAAAAAATAGAATAAATAAATGGTCCCCTTGCTAGACTAGAGATTTCTATGCAGACGTAGAAGAAGTACACAGAGCATCATGCTGGGAGCAAGGCTTCCCAAGATGGATATGAATTCATAGAATCACAGAATGGTTAGGGCTGGAAGGGACCTTAAAGACCACCCAGTTCCAACCCCCTGCCATGGGCAGGGACACCTTCCACCAGACCAGGTTGCTCCCAGCCCCATCCAGCCTGGCCTTGAGCACTGCCAGGGAGGGGGCAGCCACAGCTGCTCTGGGCAGCCTGTGTCAGTGTCTCACCG